GCGACATTTTAATCCAGCTCCCTTTAATGATCAGAACACTGTCACTTAAAGCAAAGTACAGATCTTCTTAGGACTGGCTGTAGATGTCAGCCTAATTTAGTGCAGAGTAAAAGTCATCATATTTTTCATTGTTTCCTGCAGACTTTGCATCATTTCCACTGTCTTAAACTATAATGTTTCCTGTTAGGAACAGAGAGATGTAATTCCCATGATGCTTTGCTCTACTTTACTTAAACGCCTTAACTGGGTGTTGGCTTGGTACTGAAACCATAACAGTTCTCTTCATGTACTCTCCAGTTAGACGGCCACACCGTTCCAACGCTGTCAGTGAGCTGCTCCTCCCTGTTCTGACTCAGGGTGTGGAGTTCAACTGGAAAAAGATTAATTAAATGTTGCTCCTTTCTTTATTTCCTGTACAAATATTTGTAAATTAACAGAAGGAACTGGAACAGGGTTTTTTTTGGGGGAGTGTTTAGAAGAGTTCAGGAAGCTGTGAGTGTTACATGTACTAAAAAAATACATGTTGGGTGCTGTTTATATGTAATTACAATATACATACATCAGTTAAGTTAACTTAAGATTCATTCACATTGAACAAGTTAGAATAGTCAATCAGTTAATTTAATGAAGACTAAAGTAACTTTGAGGCAACGAGTTGGCTTTTTTTTTAAGTTAAGACTAATTCCACCCGTTCTTCACACTGTGGCCAACTGTGAGAAAAATCCTGCTTTAAAGGTGAAGTTAAAGTTGATTTCTATGGCACATTTAAGTGACAAGGCAGTTAAAGGACTTTACACCATAAAAAACATAACACAGTAACAAATTATGAAAAACGCAACATGCATTACTAGCTGAATTTATTTCTGGTTCATCAGATTCTGTGACTGAATCTGTGAACTGAAGACAAGCAGAACCAGAACCAGAACCAGAACCAGAACCAAAAGGTGTTTCAACAAAGCATCAGTGTGCACACCTGTCCCAGGTTACTACTGCTGCTTTTGAGCTTTGTGTTGTTTCCTAATGGATCAATTTGTTTTTCGCTTAAATTCCACATTATATGTAAATGGTAATATGTAGGAAAGGTTTTGAAATTGTTTATCAATGTCTCATTTATTTACATCTTAAAAGCCTGGCATTTTTTTTCAGAGCCGCTCCAGGTCTCATCCTGGCACCTGAAACCCCTTTTCTTCACTGTGATGCATTTTTACAGAGCTGAGACTGAGGAGAGTTTCATCCTGCATGTGTTTTCACTTGCAGCAGACTCCGCATGTAAACACTCTGCAGATTGCAGACAGAGTGCATAAGATTTCACTCATACTGAAAGCTGTGTTGGTTGAAATAATCTTTGGAGAGTTTCTACTGCCACTCCACTGAGCTCAGGCTGAGTGTCTGTGTTCCTACCCGAACTTCATGCAGCTGCTCCAGAGGTGATGAGTCTACCATCACCATCCACATGGGCCCAGATGTCCTACACAGAAGAAACTGTGATTCCTCTGCTGATCACACTGAAACCAACAGCATCTCTGCAGATCCTCTGCAGCAGCAGCAGCAAGGCACACCGTGAATCAGACAGTCATACTTCCTGGAAGAAGTTGTAAAATTTTATTCTAAAGCGCCATGCATCGACATACAAACACGTGTCTGAATCCAACTGCACCATGCATGCTGAAATAATAGCACAGCTGCAGACACAACACTCTCTGCACACCCAAACAGGGTCAGGGGACGAGAAACCGCAGCCTCACCCACACTCGTCACAGCTTTCACTGATCTGCAGCAGGAAGCTGCAGAGGCAGGAAATGAGGTAAGACGTGTGTGCACCTCAGGGGGATCTGATCTGATGATGTCAAAGTGTTTTGACATGTGAGTGGTGGTTTTGGGGGTTGAGGGGGGCGGGAGGTGACAGTACAGGTAGGAGGAGGCAGCCAAAGCATTCTCAGATCTGTACCTGGAGGTGGTGATTTCCACAAACTCTTTCCAAAGAAAGACAAAGTGAAAGTTCAACAGAATTATATCAAAAATAAAGACTGACATAAAGAGAGTGGGCAACATGAAGCAGATTACAGCCTGTACTGCTCATCTCCTACATGGCTTTGCCTCCAGACAGCAGTCTGACCCTCCTGACCGTTTATAGTTCAAAGATTCAGTCTGCTTACAATCCTAATGATTCAGTTCAGTTCAAAAATTCTCTATTTATTTATCCTAAGGGAGAATTAAAGGCACAGTATCATGTGTTTTCCAGGCACATAGTGCCACTTTACAGCACAATAAAGTAACTATGTCAACTTCATTTTTCATAACATTTCTGTATTTGTCAAACATGACTCAAAAGAAATTTGTCTTCGCAGTTTGACGCCTTGAAATGAATACTCTGTCTCTTTAAGAAGCTCCTGCTCTCTCTGACACTCTGTCTTCAGGAAGTCATCACAACAACGTTCCTCTATTAACCCTTTAACAACATTTTTACCGGCTCTGGACTGAGTCATAGCTGGTGTGGTGTTAGCTAACTGCTGCTGCTAGTCTGAAGGAGCTGAGTGGATGTAAAAAGTCAGCTTTACATAATTCTGCCTCTTTTTAATGTGGAAGTTACATCATCCAGGTATCTTCAAAGCATCGTTGCAGATGGTGATGCTGCTAGCAGGAAGGATCTCAGTGAATCTAAAGAAACCTCTGACCGGACACACTGTTGCTGCCATAACATGCCAACAGCTCAATAACCAAACAGCTAAGACGATATTCCATAGTAACACCATCAGTTCCGTCCATCATGCCATCAGCTCTGAGCATCTTCTGCTTCAACCAGCTCCACATCAGGATGCTGCCATCAATGCTGCTTGCTTTTCACCATTTAACTGTTTAACTCCTGATACATTTCAGTGCCTCTGGTAAATGTAAATTCATTTCACCACTAGGGGTCAGTAAAACAAGAAAGTGATTACTGTTGAATTAAAATGCACAAAGCATCCTGGCCGGACCTTAGACGTCAAGTTATTCTTTTTTTTAGTCCTTTCATTTGATTTATTTGTCTTAACACTACAACTAAAAACTGAAGGATTGGTTAAAAGTGGGGGGAAAGGCTTCAGGTTGAGGCAGCGTCTGAGACGAGGTGGAAAAGGAGAAATACAGGATGCAGAAAAAAAAAATATTTAATGATGAAAATAAGTCAAACAGAAAACGACTGGGTGGAAAAACTCAATTCCTTTTTCCATCAGCGATCTGCTGTAAGCGAACAGGGGATGTCCCGCTGCTGCACGCTGGAGGTTTTACGCACACACACGCACGCAAGCAAACAATTGCAGCTTTTATCATGTCTCTCTTCTTTCCTCCTCTGTGGAAATATTAAAAACTATATATATTACAGTTTGGTTCAACAGTAAACTTCCAAAAATCTCCACTATGGTGACCTTCTGTCATGTTACGACCATAAAAATTATTCGTTTACCAAGAGTTTTGAAGGGGTAGGAAAACAACGTCTCATTTTACAAAATAAAAGGAGACATCATTTTTAAATAATGACGTCTCATCTTGCCATGTAAGACCAGATCTTGGTATAAAAATATGGGGAAATGTGGGATTGTATTCAACTATCAACTCCTATATAAAATAAGGGAGGATGATGTGAAACATAAAGAGTGGCAGCTTCATGCCTTTTCCTTCAACAGGGAAGAGGAAGCTGGTTCAAACTGATGGGAAGATGAAGGAGCCCCCATAATAATAATAATAATAATAATAATAATAATATATTTTATTTATAATGCCCTTTATGTCTTGAGATCTTAAAGGACTACAAAAGACAACAATAAATAAGAATGAATAGATAAAAAGTGATTAAAACCAATATCTAAAGAAGTGAACCAAAAATTTTGCCAAAAAGAAATGTCTTAAGGTCTTTTGTGAAACAGTCAGTGCATTATAGCAACCATCTCTCAGATGGAGATGTGCTTGTAACTGCAAAGGACTTCTGGGCCAAGAGTGGGTTTTTTGAGGAGTGGGTTTGATTATGGCTGTCTTTCAGACCGACCAGATTGCCTTCATCTTCCGAAGCGAACTGGTAAACAGGGAGCTGAGTGGCTGAAGGTGTCTGCTCTGGTGTTGACAGGAGCCGGTGGTCCTGCAGTTGTCCACAGCTTCATCTGGAGATGGACGCTGTGTGGAAAGACGCTGAAGGTTTACTGGTAAAAGTTTTGTGTTGATGAGTTTAGGTGTTGCAGATATCGGGTTTACTGCATGATGATGGCCACTTCATAGATCAAAGCAGATCCATGCGTTAGACTGGTCCAGTTAAAGTTATTATCTGAATTTAATTGGGAAACTGTGGCATAATTTTAACATATCTGCTCCAAACAATCTGACTAAACCCGAGAAAGAAAAACGGTTAAAAGAATATTTTTGACTCATTCTTTTTTTTTTTCTCCATCATATAAAATCCCAACAAAACACAGGGAAGTGTGTGAACTGTGACATAATGTAAAAAATATGCATGTGATTAGTTCACCACAAGGTCTGCAACTGCTGCAGACTGCTCTAACATATTCTGAATAAATGAGAAAAACAATTTAATCAACTAAGTAGTAACTGCAACAGCAGCTGTTTGAACACAAGCAGGTGTAATACTATTACGGGCCACTAGAGGGAAGGCTTTCACGTAATATACATTTGAAAACGGATCAGATGCTGACTTCACCTCGTACCTTATACTCTATGAATAGAATAGAATAGAATAGAATAGAATAGAATAGAATAGAATAGAATAGAACAAGTGAGCCAATCGGGACTGATTGGCTGAGACCAATTTCTGGGTTGGGCAGGACGGGAAACAAGGCAGTTTTTTTGGGATCCGGAATGGAAATAAAAACGTGTAAAGTGAGAGTCCAGAACTGCGGAAGTTAAATATCTTCAGTTTCACTATAAAATATCAACGACAAAAAAAAAGGGAGAGAGAGAGAGAGAGAGAGAGAGAGAGAGAGAGAGACTAATCAAACACTTCAGAATTCACAAAGTTTTACCCTACTGAAAAATATAAATTTTATTTGCTGGTTTGCTTTTGCACTTTGAGAAGAATTTTGACAACAGTCCAGGTGGATTAGGTGCATAGTATATGGAGAAAAGAGAGGAGTACATTTCTGCCAAAAAAGAGAGGACATTTTTGAGTGTTTATCTTCAAAAACAACATTTCCAAAAGTGCAAAATATCTGACATTTGAAACTCATTTGAAAAAAAGAATAATTTTTCTAGAAAATTTCTAGGACCTTTCGGCTGAGATTTACTCTTTTTTTTATATCTGCAATGGCCCTAATTCACTCGTGGGTTTGGCAAAGCAAAGTGTCGAGTACAGCAGAGGACCGATGATGCTGCGGGCCTCAAAGGTATCATGAACATGGAAATTCAACAAGTAAAGTTTCCCCCCGCTGAATACAATTGGTTGGTATTTTTCTAAATGTTTCGGTATGTTGCAGCACCAAATCAAAGTCATTATAAGATTTTTTTTTTTTTTTTTTTGCTCATCTGTACCAGAGTCCCACCTTTATTTTGGTGGTCTAAAGCGGAAGCTGTTCGCTTGCCTTTGTTCAACTTGTAGCATCGCAGAGATCCAGTGTGGCTGGCAGCAGGCTGAGGGGGGAATCGGCACAATCTGGGATCTATCTGGGAAAAAGGGCAGTCGGTGAGCAAACCTGCTCCAATCCCCGGCGGAACCTCGACCAACACCCCGCGGAGACTTCTGCTGCGTCTCCCCGCGGCTGGCTGCGCCTTTTCCTCCCAGGAATCTCCTTGGGATCTGGATCCGCTCAGTAAGTAGCTCCGTTGCCCCTTACCTAAATATCCCAGCACATCGGCCGGGATTTGTAGGCTTTCTCTGCTCCTGCTTCTCCTTCCTGTGGAACAAACTGCAGCTGGAGCGCTGCAGAGCTGCATTGTGCTGCGAAGACATAGAGGATCATCTTAATTAGCATCCGCCGCAATAAAAGCCAATTAATGCCGCGGGGCGGCTGCATGTGAATGCAGGGGAAGGACGGGGAGGGGGGAACGGAGGAAAGGCTTCCATTCACTTCAGCTGATTTAATGTGTCTCAGTTGTGGCTGCAGATGCGGACGCACAGGCCTGATTGCTGCCTGGGAACACTGTTGTTCACTAGATGGGTGTGTGTGCGTGTGTTTGAGTGTGTGTTGGGCGCTGTATTGGGCGCCGCGGGGCCTGCGGATGGATCCCTCCCGGCCTGGAGGCGCAGATTCGCCGGCGAGCTGCAGCCGGCTGACAGAGGCCGGGCTGGCTGACACAAGTAAGGCGTGGCGTCCTGGCAGCATTACGCACAAACACACACACACACATGGGCGTGTTCGTCCAGCAGCTGGCTCACAAATCACTTTTAACATGCCCAGTCCTATCGGGTCCTGTTAGTTGCTCAGATGTGACCCCTCGCTGGTGTTTTTGGTGGCCCGGGTCGGTCCCAGAACTCGTTTAAAATGCAGCCTCATCAGGCATGCAGGCCTTCCATCTGTCTGTCCAGGTGTCTCCTGCTTCAGGAGGCAATCATCACCATGAATAAGAAATTGATTAGCCATAACACGGAAGACCATCTTTTCTGAAGCCGGCCTTCACAAAGTGATGCAGAGGACGTGTTGGCGGGACACAAGGACAATATGCAGCAATAATAAGCACAAACTTCAGAGATATTTCTGTGAAAACTACATACCTTCCCCATTTTTTTCAACATTTATTTTTTTATTGTCTTACAAATATTAAAGGCTTCGTTCTCACGTCACATATTGTGTTAACCTGTAACCTGCTAGCATAACCTGGTCAGTGTACCGCTTAGCTAATTCTAAGGTTGTTTTAATGGTTAAAAAATAAAGAGCATTGAAAATGTTCATTTTGTATTTTCACAATCAGAATAAAGGTTTATTAATATCAACCTGCATTCTGAGCTACATTTATAATTCCATAGAATTATCCAACTCAGGATTTATTAGTCTGTTGCTACAGCTTCCTAACTTTAGCTAGCAATAAACAGTTTTCGGTAACACTTTATTTGAAGGGGGGTGAATAAGGCTGTCATGACACTTTCATTAACATGACATAACACCTGTCATGAACATGAATAAGCCTTCATGAATATTTATGACTGTTGTCATAAAGCGTCATTTGGTAAATTATGACACTTTTAATACAAAGTTGACATTATTCAAAATGTCTTTATGACAACTTGACATTAACCAAGAAATCATTACTGTTAAAACTTTACCTTTAATCACATAAAGTTATCTAATTTTTAAAGTGCAATCAGTAATTCTTTTATAACAAATTTATATCAGTAATGATTTCTTGGTTAATGTCAAGTTGTCATAACAGACATTTTGAATAATGTCAACTTTGTATTAAAAGTGTCATAATTTACCGAATGACGCTTTATGACAACAGTTATAACTATTCATGAAGGCTTATTCATGTTCATGACAGGTGTTATGACATGTTTATGACAGTGTCATGACAGTCTTATTCACCCCCTTCAAATAAAGTGTTACCCAGTTTTCTTCCTGGGACTTGCATTTTTCATATTGTTTGGTGTTATGGTGAAAAATTACCTGCTGTGATGATAAATCATGATACTAATTTAGATTTATTGTGATAACGATACATTTCTAGTTGATGTTTGAAGCCCTCCTCCCCCAAAACTGGTTGTGTTGTCAGGATTGTTATTTTTACTGTTTTCGCCACTGTTTGTTCCATGAGAGCATCAGTAAATTGAAAAATATTACAATATGGTGTTACTGTTGTCACCTTAGTGATAAGAATCACAATTTTTCTGTTACTCCCTGGTGTCCAGAAGAAGCCTGTTTTAAAGTGGGTTTGTTTCTTTAAGAGCAGTATTTGTGTTTGAGGGGCTTCGACTGCAGTGACAGTTGCTTGAAAGAAGCTTTAAATGTATTTTTAATCATAGCATTTCTTATCACAATAAATAAGAAGATATTGTGATAAAATCTTTATTTCATATTCCCCACCCTTACTTCAGGCCACTAGTATTGTGTTGGAGACGTCATTGTTTTTGTAATGACTAAGTTATCAAGCTGGACCTTTTGGATTTTGAACCGTAGATGATGAAACATAGAAGAGACTCACAGAACATCTTGGACACAGAAGAGGCTAGTCGTTGTGTTGAAGTGATGAAGACTTCTGCGGTGTTTATGTACCAGAGTGTTGCTCGGCCAGCATCTTCTTTAGCTGAACAGATCCCTCCTTCATCGTTTCATTACTGTGGGTTGCAACAAATACGTTACCTGCAGCTCCACAGCGTTGCTGATGGGGGATTGTCTTTCTGCGCCGCAGCCTGTAACCGTGCCCAGTGAAGTTGAAACATGATCATTTTGACAGTGTTGAGATGACCCAGCTCTGTAACACGCTCAGCAAATTGGGGCAGAACTCAGTTCCTCCTGCTGGCTCTGCTTTGGGTTAACTGGAGTATAAAAATCCCTCCTGGCCTACTTCTACAACTGGCTGGTTAAATCTGCGCCAAGCCTGTCAATTGATCTGTAGCTTCCATTTAATACCACTTCACCTGTTTGGTGCAGTCTTTGCATTTTTTGTTTTGTTTTCTTTTTTTATTCTGATGCTCTGAACAGCTTCTCGTTTCCAAGCAATCTGCTTCAAGATCCCAACACACTGTAGTGTTTGTGGTTCTCTACTAGTTATCGTTTGGAACTGTAATAAATGGCACAAACTGTTCAACTGTCTACCTTGAAAGGCTTTTGATCTAGTTTTAGTGCTGCCGGTAATTTCCATGCTTTAAGTGTGTGCACCGATTAATCTTTGGCAAGACTTTGGGAGACTGGCGATCGACTGATGCTTGCATGAATGGTGTTTACCTCAGCCACTGTCCCTTTGTGCTCTGCCATGACTGAAAGACTCATCCACCATGTCATGTCTGCATGTGTGCAGTTATTAGTAGTCACCCCAGTAGCCGTGTTTCAATCATTTTTTTATTCGCATTTTGAAGTATTGCATTAGAAATACCTCTGATATCTGGCCGTATCAGAGGCGTGAAACGCTGAAGAAGTCCAGACCTCCGCCTTGGAGGGAAGAACTTTCCATTTTTGTGAGACGTGTGCTCCATGCTACTTTGTAGACTTTATTTTCTGTTTATTACTGCTTTGTGTAGCATCAACGAATTGTGCTGACTGGCTGATTTCCTCCACATCATAACTACTTTGCTTTTTCTTCTTTTTTTTTCTTTTTTTGCGACAACAAAAGTTCACTCAAAATTTGCATGATGGATGGAAATATAGGTACTATCACGTCATGGAAGGAAGTCATTTCAGGAATTAACAGTTCATAATGGTTACTGTAACATTACTATAACTTTACAGAATCAGCATAGAAAGTCTAAAGGCTTTCAGGTGTTCCTACATTTCCATAATGTCATATGGAAACCTATGATACCTATAGGCAGTATAGAGAGACCAGTTAACCTAACAGCCATCTTTCTGGATGGTACATGTTAGTACCCGGCGAAACGCACGCACAAAAGAAATATGTCAACATGAAGACAGAGCCTTCTTGAAGCAAAATGCCAGTAACTGTTCCACTGCGCAGCTCTTTGCCACAGTTTAAAACACCTTTGCCACCGTTTTATAGTACAGAAAAAGTTCATAAGTGTCAGTTTAATCACGCCATAACCTCCTCTAACTCCAACTCCACCTCAGTGCAGCCAGAAAGATGAGCCAGACCAAATGTCATTTCAAGTGGAACGATTAACCCAGAGAGAGGAAGAAGAAATCCCAGATTAGAGCTGAGGTTAAGTCAGATTGGACCCGAGATGCTTCCTCTTTCCAGTCTTTCTCTGGCAGATGCTGCACCAATCCGACTGAAGAGCCGATGAAGCAACTGATTGGATTTTATAGCAGCTGGGACCTTTTAAACCCAACTCAGACCAACACTACAACCCAGCTATCGAAGAAGGACTTTGAACATTCCTGGCATCTCCAAATCTCTGACATATGTCAGTTAGATCTGTTGGATCTGGCTCAGCCAGCAAACCTTAAATGGCGTAGTGGAGTCTTTGAATGACACAAGACCAGACTAAGGTAGCATTAATCAAACTGTTAAATGAAGCTGATAATTAAGACCTTCTAATTCCTAGAATTATTCTCTAGAACATCCATCATAGATGGATGTCATAACCTAAGTTATAAGATGTTGTTGGCCTCTGACCAGTAAAGGCTTCCAAACACATTATGTTGTGTATATATCAAAAAAAACATTTTACAAAGGTTTTTCATAGTGTAGATGACTGTTATCTAAATATTCTACTGAACTGGATTGTCTGCAGCCTTTGGCAATAAAAATATCACTTTCCATTAGAGCTGCATTGATCAGTGAGTGTCTGGTCCAGTTTAGGCTTTTCCCTTTTGGTTCTTGCCTTGACTGCAGGCTTTCTAAGCTGCTTTTAAATAGTAGAATCATGTTTACTTTGGAACAGCTTGTTGCATCATGCTCACTTCCACTCAGCCTTGAGTTTAGCTATAAAACAGACTTATCACTAAAGTAACACAAGCTCCAGTTTCGAAGATGTCAGATATTCACTTTGACCTTTAGTCCTCCTACTCCTTTTTTCAGTGTTGTCCATTTTGGTCACTCATAAATCCTCCCTTCACCCCATCGTTCACCGCTCCACCTGCAGGAACTCCACTCCTTGAAGATCCAAGGTATCTTCAACTCTAAAAACGTAGTGTAGATAGTGACACTACGTAGCAGCTGTTCAATGACCTGACAGTCTATTTGTCATCACAATTTCGGGATGTGCAGTACTGTGTTTCAGTAAAGCTGGAATATTCAAGGTGCCAAGCGTTTAAAGCTGCAGTATGCAACTTTAATGAAATCAATTTCTTACATATTTGTTAAAACTGTCACCATATTGTGACAGAATGTTATGAGGCAGATAATCTGTGAAACAATCAATCTCCTCCACCTCGTTCCTGAGCTTATCATTGCCGTCCAAATGTGGCCTATAACTATGTTACACAAAGAAATGCACCATTCCTGATTTAAAAGCGACCAATCAGAGCCAGGAGGCGGGTCTTGGTGCTGTCAGTCAACCTCATGACCTCGCTGCTAAATGTGCAAATGGCAGAAAAACGACTTACTGTTAAGAAAACTGTTTATCTGTCACCATCGGTGGTTATGCTAACTAGCCTCAGGATTCATAATGCGCTGTGCTAGCTGGAGCAGTGCCACACAGAGGAGTGATTGATGGGCCCCCCTCCTGGTTCTGATTGGTCACTTCTA